GTTGTTAGCTGCCATGTGGGTGCTGGGATTTGAACCTGGGTCTTCTGCAAGAACAGCCAATGTTCTTAACTGCTGAGCCATCTCTCCAGCCCCCTGACTTCAGATTTTCAGGCACTACATTGCTATCTCTAGTCAATTCTAAAATATCATTTAAAAACGTTATTTTAAATGTAGTTGAAAAAAATGTGAATCATTAGTATTTGCAAAATGTCAGTATTCCTTTCAAGTTGCATAAATGCTGTTTGTATATGTGTCCTGGGGATTGAACCCAGGGCCTCAAACATGCTGGGCAAGTATTATACCACTCAGCCACATCTCAAGCCAATGCTATGATTTTTAACTCAACATGCTAAGACAATGTGTTCTACTTTGATATTTGTAATAAACAAATATAGGATACAATCAGTCTGCTAGAGGAGTCTATCTAGAGGAGATGATATTCCTTTAGTTACAAGCTTCTTTTGGGGATGATGAACTTTTTCTACCTAATTGTTGTAGTAGCATTTCAGTGTTTCTCACATCAGGGACTGAGCTGCGGTAGATGGAGGATGCCACAAATACTTTATGGAGTTGACTTCTTCCCCTACTGGATCGGGAAAGTGAATGTGGCAGTGGTAATATTCTAGGACTTCTGTGACTCAGTTCTAAGAGGCCTGTAGCATCTGTAGTGTATTGAATACTTCTAGATCTCAGCTTCCATGCTGTAAGGAAGCAGAAGCAGACCCGGGGATGGGCCCACCTCCAGGACCTGAGGCTCCTGGTTGATTCCCCAGCCAACAGCCAGCATAGCCTCTCCAGCCATGAGTTTTTGCTTTGTATGACTGTAGTTGCTTTAAAAATAAAGGTTGGGATGGTCTGCTATGCAGCAATAGATGGTTTGGAGCCCTCACAAATGCCATCTGTTCCTCACAGTAATCTCATGAAGCTCTGAATAACTCCATGAGCTTGCCCGATGATCTGTCTTCCAACTCCAATTTGAAGGTGTTTGTTTCATCCTCCTTGATAAATGTAACTTCACTTTATTATAATCCATCTTATAACTGCTGAGCCCAAAATAACAGTTTCCCTGTAGTACCACCTAGCCTAGAACTTGCTATGTAGAACAAGGTTGATCTTGACCTCAGAGATCCACCTGCCTTTGCCTCCCAAGTGCTTGGATTAAAGGCCTGTGCCGCCATGCCCGACAATGGGTAAGGTTAAATCTTAACTCAGCCATTATTGGTTGCATGCCCTTGAATAAACAGAGGTAGCTTATGTCACAGGATTGTGAAGATGCTAGATAAATAGAAGACTTGCCTTTTCTTTGGAATCCGTATGAAATGGTATAAAGGAATGACAGACGGATTAGATGGAGGGCAGTGGTAATGTGAACATACGCGAATGTGGTACACACTCAGCAAGCAGCTAGTGAATCAAATACACTCATTTGTTCTGTCTTCCCAGTTTAAGTGGGTGATAGTGAGAAGCAGTAATAGCAACTCAAATCTCAAGGGCTCTGGAAGATCCTTATACTCTTGTATGCTCAGTGTTGGTGCACCAGAGTGAGGACAGGGACTGCTGGCAGAGAGCCTTCTGACACACACCTTGTTTCTGTTCTTTCCTAATACTGCTACTCTGATGATAAACTGGTAAGACAACAAATGTGAATAAGAGCTATCCACTAAACTGTGTATTCTGTAAAAAATACTTTTAAAATTGCTCTTAGAATATTAAAAAAAGTGTAAAGACAGGTAAATTCCCTAAAGAATATTATACAATGTTTTTGGTGCCATAAAAATGAAAATTAATGAGACAATTTTTTAAAAGTACCAATCAAAAAGTCCTAGTATCTTTGAAAAAGCAAAGAGAATAGAAAAATCCTCTTTAAAAAAAAAGCTTTTGGGTTAAAGAGGAAACTAAACAGAAATCTATGCACTGGAGATGTAGCTGAGCAGTAGAGTGCTTTCCACAAAACTGCACAGCACAACCCCTGAACTAAAGAACACCTACTCCATTGCAGTGATGGCAACACAGATGCTTCTGAATGACTTAAGCATTACTCAGAAATAAGTACAGGCCTCAAATCTTTTTTATTTTTTTGAGACAGGATCTTCCTGTAGCCCCAGCTGGCCTGGAACTTACTATGTAGACCAGGCTGGCCTTGAATTTACAGAGATCTGCCTGCCTCTGCCTCCTGACTGCTGGGATTAAAGGCATGCACCACCATATCTAGACTCAAATCTTATACTAAAAATTTAGAAGAAATAAATAGCTAACTCAAAGAGTTGGCAAGAAAACCAACAAATAGGTGCAAAGAGTAGGAAAATTATGCAAGTGGAAATAGCTAAATAAAAAGTCACAGAACAGACATACAAGGCATAGCACACACAAGGAAATACGTCAACTTTTTGCTATTTATTTTTATGTGTACGAGTGTTTTGCCTGCACGTATACATGTGCACCATGTGTGTGCCTGAAGGTTAGAAGAGGATGTCAAATCCTCTGGCGTTACAGATGGATGTGAGTCACCATTTGGGTGCTGGGAACTGAACCCCAGTCCTCTGCAAGAGCTGAAAATACTCTTAACTGCTGAGCCATTTCTCCCGCCCCTTTGTTGTTTTTTTAAAGGCAGAGTTTTGCTATGTTGCTCAGGTTAGCCTCTAATTTAGGAGCTCAAGTGATCCTCCCATCCCATCCTCCTGGGTAGCTGGGATTACAGGTGTGAGTCAACTCACCTGATTAACTCTGAAGTTTTCTGAATTGGAAAATGAAGGTGAAGCACAGCACATAAAGGGGGAAAGACTGACACACAGAAGAGCCAGTGTTAACATTGTATAACTTCAGGGAAATAAATTTCACAGTATGGATGAAATGGGTGGTTCTTGCTCCCAGGTAAGATATAGAAGACTCTAAAAATTTGATTTTAGAAAATGAAATATTTGTCAAAGAGCTACAGATAATTTTTACTGAAAACTTAAGGATCAGAAAATTCCATTGCCACTTAAACTGTTCCAGAGCACAGGGAAAAATGGAATTTCTAAATCTACCAGAATAAAATGCAAATTTTCTCAGATAACATGTGTGCACACACAAACACACACATCCTTCACCTAATCCTGTTGACAAATACAAAAAAAAAATCTTCAATAAACTGGAAAACAGTCTAGCAATGTATTAAAAATATACATGATGAGCCAGGTATGGTGGTGCATGCCTTTAGTTCCAGCACTCAGGAGGCAGAGGTGGGCGGATCTCTGTTGAGTTCGAGGCTAGCCTGGTCTACATAGTGAGTTCCAGGGCTCGCAGGAAAGTGATGTCAGTCCAGGCCAGCATGGGCTGCAAAGTGAGCTTGAGGCTAGCCTAGAATAAACAGAAAGAAAAAAAAAAAAAAAAAAAAAAAAAAAAAAAAGAAATTACAGAACATATTAAAAAGTCATATTAGGATTGAAGGAATGGAATCAGATGTGCTTCCCCATAGATGTTGAAAAGGCATGTGATAAGTTCAGCATGCATTCCTAAAAACTGGTTCAAAATCATCAACTGACACATTTTTAACAGGTTTAACTATATCTAAACCAGTTCACAGTAGCCAGTGTTATCTAACGTTATTTTAGAGGTATTAGAAGATTCATTTAAGACACAGAGGTATGCAAACTAGAACAAAGGTTGCTTATCAATGAAGAAGACTCTGGAGCTGAAACACACAGAAAGTTTAATGAACATAGTAAACTACAAGAAAAGGAGAACTGGAAGCTGGGCAGAAAATTGATCTAATAATTCATTAGGCTGTATGTATATGAATAATAGGCAAAAGGCAGAAATGGAAAAGATTTCCTTGATAATAGCAACAAGAAATAAAATGTGGTAAGAATTCTTAAAAATGTTTAAGTGCCTGTAAAGTCAAAGGCAACAAACATCAGAAGGACCAAACACAAAGACTTAAAATGAAAAGCTGCTGTTACTTTTAGAGAAGGTGCCATGATTTGGATAAAAGAGCTTTAACAAGATAATGATGTTGAATCTCTGCAAGTTTATCACAAAACTGCCTAGATTAAAAGGTCAAAATAAGTAAGTTTTGTGGAACTCGGAAAAATGATTCTAAGGTTAAAAATGTAAAAATAAGCAAGAATACTTGAACTGTATTTTAAAATAGCAGTTGTTGAGACAAAGTAGTTGGTATTGGTATAAAGAGACACAGGGAGATCAACTAGAGACAATAGTCTAGGAACACACCAGAATGTGGAAAACTTCTACATAAAAGTTCCATTTCAAATTAGTCAAGAGAGGATCACTTATTAAGTAGTCTTGGGAAAACTGGGTAGTCTCCTGGGGGGAAGGGGGATCAGTGAAGTCCTAAATTTAAGATAGATTGACTTAAAGATGAAAAATCAAATAAAAGATACTCAATTTTGAATATTTTGATTGAAATGCTGTAGTTTCACTTGAGATAAGATACAGAAAATGAACACATGGTATAATCTGCATTATGATCTATGATACTAATGTACAGATGGATACATTTTATGCAAAGCACATGGTATGTCTGAGGGATGTACAAGAATCTGGTACTGATATGTGTCTCTTTAAATAGAACTAAAAGACGGGTGTCAGGGTAGGAGAGGAACTAACTTTTTTATTGCACCAGAATGTTGTACAAGTCAATTTAAAAAATTAATTAAAACATGCCAGTAGCATGCAGAAGGCCCTGGGCTTGATTCCCAGCACCACAAACAACAAAAAACGCAAACCAGAAACCTAAGAACTCAAATTCAAAACTATAGCTGATAATAATTAGTGCCTAAAAGAAGGTTGATTTGCTAACCTGAATTCTGTCAGGAGAATAGACTGTATTATTATATCTTATAAGATTTCTCAATTAAAAGGCAGTTTTCTTAAAGGCAACATGGTACTCAGGCCCTTAGGGAATCTGAGTACTGGTGTGAGCTGATATGTAGTTAAGCCGTAATCTGGAGAGGAAGAGAAATTCAACAATAAAAAACAACTTTGATTTAAAAAGTACCTCAAGCCAATAAAAAAAATTATTTTAATTTCTGATACATAGTAAAACATTTTAGTCAGGTCTTCCTGACAGCATAACAAGACATATACACAAGACCTCAAACATGCTTAAAATGACATTCAGCAAAGTATTTAAAATGTAATAAATAGCAATAATCACACACAAATACATTTTCATACTCAATCATTAAGCTATTAAAACAGACAGCTAAAGAATAAATAAACAAGAACCAACAATAAAAAAAAACCAGGGTTTTGTAATTCACTCTACTTAAAGTAGGGAGCAATCTGAATGGTTTCTTAATTTGCTTTTCTTCAAGATTATAGCAGTGAACCCCCCTCAGAATAAAATATATTGAAAAAAGTCACTCTTACAGTTATGCAGTTTTTAAATACAACAAATAAATATGAAATCAGCAAAGCAATTTCAAGTTGTAATAAAAATGGTCCCCCACCTCCCTGAAAGCTATGGAAATATATAGTCACTGTGGTAGCAAATAATAGTATTTAAAGTGATAGTGCTTATGCACTAAACTCATCTGAGACCTTGGTATGATTTTAGTGCAAATCCCTAGGGTCCAATATAAGCAAACCCCTGTAATAGAGAGACATTACTGGGTGGAACTTATCATGTACAATTTCCGTACATATTTTATAAAGTTCAAGATTTAATGCATAGTAGAGTATCTTCATCCGCTCAATCCTGTCCCTAAATGGAGACGAAAACTGAAGTATCTTGGAATTTTACCGTTTGGTTTGTACCATATTAGAGTATTAAAGTCAGCATTAGAAAATCTATAAAAGTTTTGTTTTTGACATTAATTTATCTAATTCTACCTAAATTTTACATCACTGTACGTTAAACATAAGAGAAAACTTTTGAGGACTTTCACCCTTGACAAGTTCATGTGATAAAGTCCAGTAGCAGACAATGCTACACAAATAAAGAACGAGCAGAAGGGTTTGCTTTCTTTCTTGCACATTAACAACCTTAACACATAGTATGAGTTACATGTTGGCAAAGCATAAAAGATTCAATTAAAAGGTACTATTTTATATAAACAAACCTTTTAACAAAAGATAGATAAAATGACAATCAAATGAATTAAAGCAGCCATATTCCTACTATGAACTACAGTACCAGGATTTAAAAAAAAACAGAACACAAAAAACAAGGAAAAACAAATGGAAGAACATTACTGACAGTATGAATACATAGTGCATGTTTAGCTGCTAAGTAAACTCTAAGTTCATAGAGTTACAAGTTGTTTAATTTAACCATGCAGGCTAACGTATAATAATAAGAACTCATCCTGCATCTTTTATTTTTAAACTAAAACTAGTTTAATTGTAAAGTTACAAAACAATGAATGGATATTGCTCCAGCTTGTAGACCATCTCTCTTGTGATTTGCACTTAACAAAGTAACAAAGCCTCATCATCGCTCGTTTCATTTTTCAGTGCTGCTTCTAAGCAAGTGTCCGGTATCTGGGCAGTGTGGACAATGCCACAGCGCTCACAGGGGCCATCTCGGTTACTTGGTCTGCCTCCAGGGTTTGTTGCACTGTATGGTTGCCTCAACCCTTGTACTTGATCTGAGGTAAGATCAAGGAGAGGTCTGGAGCAGTCATTGGCATCAATGTCTGAGGCTCCATCAGAAACTGGAATTAGCATTTCAACATCATCATCTTCTTCTCTTCCACTTACCCCATTATCAAGCTGTCTCAAAGGACTCTGGTTCTGATTTGTGGAACTTGATCGACCTAATGTAAAACGTACCCAGCGTAGGCCCTGAGTCATCCGACTTAAAGCGCTCGTGAGCTGGTGACGTGCAGGACTCACACTCGGGGGTTCCACGCTGCTCACATCCCTTCCATCACCATGGCCTCCTCGGGTGCTCTGAGTTGAGGAATTTCCACCCACTCCACTGGGGGCTTCTACCGCTGCTGTGGGAGGGACTTTGGGGGGCAGAGGAGCTGCAACCCCACCAGATGCTCCTGCTGCATCTCTTCTCTCATTTTCTGTGTCTGTGTCATCAGACTCCACTGAAAACAAACTTCTGTGAGGGTGGCTTCTCTCAGCCTCTCTGCTGGCATTCTGACCAGGAACAACCTCGTCTCCATCTGCTGAGACCAAAGCCAAGGACCCTGAATGACGTGATCTTGCAAAATTAAAAATACGATTCCAAATGTTGCTGGATCTGCCGGCCATAGGAAGTCTGATTGAAGTAAATCCCAGCTGAGATCGAACAGCCAGCCGCAGGTTTTCCAAAACCGAAGCCTGCAAAAATCAGAAAATACCTTAAGACTGCTAATGACAAGGCATTAAGAGGAAAAGCCTTCTTCTAGTATTGGGCTCCCACGGAGGACGATCAGCTCACCTCTGCTGGCTCACTCACTCTACTAGACAATCTGATCTGTAACTTACATCATTTCTCAAGGAAACTGCATTTTCCATGCTTAACTTTACAGTGATATGTCAATTATAACATTTGCTTTACTCCATATTCAATACTCCAAAGGCAGAAAATAGATACACTTACAACTGAGGAGACTGATAAATTTCTACAATATTACACTAAATTACCTAGTACCACTCACATTTCTGTTCCTTTATCCAAGAATTTAGTTACATTCCACAAATGAAGGATTTAATATATTTGTAGGGCAGCACAGGAAACAAAAGTCCAGTTCAGGAATTAGTACACACGGAAGTATCTTGCTTAACTCAAAGAAATCTAGTTAAGATGGCTCAACAGGTAAAGGCCAAGCACAACAACAAAAAAAATAAATATCATTTAAAAAAATCAATTCTTTTTTCTAGATGAATGTGCCAAACCATTTTTTAAAATGAACAGCAGCATTTAGTTTTTAAGCTCCATCTAGTGGCTATAAAAAGAATATTCAAACTTGAAACAGTTTTAATGAACCTGGCATTCAACATTTAAATACAGTGTTCAGTGTTTCAGCAAACAGTAGCAAGCCATATACTCTCCTTCAAATGAGAACCTGTTTCCTTCTGCCAAAGGCGGGCCAGCCTCTTACTTTTTCCCTTGTAGAAAAAAGGGAAGCAAAAAAAGAAGTCCCGAGAGCTCCTGCTCTCCACTGTCTTGCTTTGCTGTGTCTGTCCCATCCACTGATGCCTTTATAGTACTGAAAACATAACACATGCAGAAAGCTGGTCGTAGGAGCATTTCATAGTCTAGTGTTAGCAAATGCAGACTGCCATTAAGAAATGAGGATATTAATGCACATGTTGACTTATAGTATGAATGAGAAAGATTTTTTTCACTAATTAAGAGTGAAAATTAAAAACAACAACAAAAAAATAAAAACAAATAGTTGGTCAAGTCTAGAATGAACTTCCCCACAGATTTAGTCCTTGATGCTTAGTATTCAAGATGCATGGCTTTGTGTGAGCACAAGGCTGTAATACTCAGCAAGGAACAAAAGGTGGCTCAGATGACCCCCAAGTTCCGGCTCTTACCCATTAAGATCAACAATGCCCTTGACATACATTAATACCAACTTTAGCATTATGGTCTGCCATGATCAGGTAACACTCTCTACTTCGTGAAAAGTCTAATTAAAAGATTGCCAATCTAACATTAGATTCTACAAGAGGAATCTATGGATGTTTGATGGGGGTAACTTTCTATATTTCTCCAGTTTACGAAGCAGGAAACATTCTACTGAAAGCATTTCTATTTTGCATAAAATGGCAAATTACAAGATTTTGTTTAAAAATCAACAGATCTCCAATTTGTGGAAATTTGATAACTTGTTATCTGAATTTTAAACTCAAGAGTTTAGTTTCACTAAGCAAATAAAATCTAGTTTGCTGTTTGAGAACATTATTTTGTTGTGGTACTACACATCTTTAATCCCAGTACTTGGGAAGCAGAGGCAGGATCTCTGTGAGTTCAAGGTCAGCCTGATCTACATAGGGAGTTCCAGGTCAGCCAAAGCTACATAGTGAGACCCTATCTCAAAAAACATAAACAAAAATCAAACAAAATTTAAAAAGGAAAAAGAACATATTTTATTTAAAATGCTATTTAAAGAGAATTCTCTCAATGATAAATTATAACCCTAGAGAATGAGGCAATGTGGAGTAAAGAATTCAATCTGACCTTGGCTTCTGGGATAAAATCTTGAAACCTTTGGGGCATTATAACCAATAGAAAGAAGTATGTTTAATGGAAGCCTGAAGGCAACTAGCAGCAATGTGACTTTGGGTGGTGCCTCTGAACCACACCACCATGATTCAGGGTGCGATATCAGTCAGTCTCATAGGGTTTAGACTGAGATTAGTCACATGCAATTAATCAGGACTGTGTGATGGACCTCAATCAAATTCTGGACAGGGGGCTCAATGAACATCCCTAGTCAGTAATCATCCTTGTACATTATTATCACACACATGTCAACAGAGCAACTTTGTCTTTGGCAAAAGGTCAATTGGGTGGTCTAACTGCCCTATACAGACAGCTCAGATGATGTTTAATAGAATCCTTTCATAGTAACACACTGTCAACATGAGTCAACAGCTTCCAGTGAGTTCTTCAGTTCCTTCTAGTGGATTAGAAAACCCCAAGGATTTGGAAAACCCTTTGAGCCTGTAATTGGTGTCAGGAGTGAGGACAGTGGTATGTGTAGTCCGTGTTTGCCTGGCTTCATAGAGTATAGTGGGGGTGGCCAATGGTGGTGGGAGTGGACAGAGTAGACCATGGTCTGAACTCCAACCTACAGAGAAACTCTGTGGGCCAAAATTACAAAAATTGCAATTTGTTTTTTTTCTATTTTGTACCAAAATTTCAAAGTGTCAATTCTGAATTACAAATTATACCGGAAAAATACTCAAAACCTACAAATGTTGACCAAAGATTTGCTAAAGACTCAAAGTTACAGTTACCAAAAGTGAAATGTTTTATTTTGAACAAAATTAAGTCATTGAGAAATATTCACCAATTTTTCTTCATTCTAATTCTGACAAACAGTGTAAAAATCCAGCTTGAAGTTTACCCTCAACTGGGTTGGAAATGTTAACTCCACTTCAATTACTTTTACTTAAAACTGGTTACTCTACTATTACAATCAAAATTGTTGGTATATTAATTTTAGTATTCACTCTTAAAGCTCTAAGTGTTCAGTCTAAGTAGAAAATAATCTGCCCAAGTTTTTTAATTTCAATGAGTTCAATTACCCTAAATAGTGAAGTACTTAAGAATTATAATCAAATCAGAATAGCTTAAAATGGAATTTCATAGTATCTATTAAAATATAAAAATAAAAAATATAAAAAATTTAAAAATTACAAATTCAAAATTTACATGTATTTAATACTTGATTGCAAAAATTCTGACAATTTTTTTTATTGACTTTTCTGTATACACATTTTTTTTTTCTTTTTTTTTGGTCTTTTTGAGACAGGGTCTCTGTGCAGCCCCAGCTGTCCTGAAACTCACTATGTAGACCAGGCTGGCCTTGAACTCACAGAGATCTACCTGCCTCTGCCTCCCGAGTGCTGGGATTAAAGGCATGCGCTACCATACCCGGTTCTGTATATACATTTTAAGAGATGATGAAAAAGGAATTAAAAGTTGCATTGTACCTGATTAGGCGAACACACAGGAAAATCTTCCACTGGTGGGATTAAGCCCTGAGCAATCAACTGACCATAGGAAGGAGGAGCTTCTCTTCGTAGTAATTCTGCTTCCACTCGTGACAACTGGGTCTCGAATGATCTTAGAGTAGACAGGGGATGGGGGGGTGGGGGTGGTAAAAAGGGTTCAACAGCATGCAAGCAGCAACTTTCTACTACCAGTAATTAAGACCATCTGAATTAAGATCCTAAGGTATATTTGACTTTTCTCAAAAAGACAAAAAAAAAAAAAGTGAGTTTAGTCCTTCAACAGACTTCACTCAAAGTCTGCACTAAGTCTATTCTGGAAAGCGAGGCTAAAGGGAATGGGCTGTCCACACAGGGCTTTTTATGCTAGGAGAAGCCTAGATCACTATGTTCGCATAGACTGGAAATCTCTGTAAAAGGTACATGATAAAAACAGTATTTTTTAAACCCAGAAGAAATTGTCAGGGTGGTCTCTAGACCTTAGGGACAGCTGCTGAAAGGGTCTCAGAAGGCACACTTCACTCATCACATCCAGCACATTCTCCTCAGGTGAGCAAGAGTGAAATGAGCCCCCAGTACGTTCCCTGGGGTGGCTGGATGGAGTGAAGACCTTCACCTCGTCATCTGTTCTTCTGTTGCAATGTGCTATCGTTTTCTGACCATTTATATTTGTTCAAAGAACAGATACAGAAATGGCTATTATGGCACTGTGCATCTGTGCACCATCTGTTATCTTTAGCTGTCTGGTGGGTTCTTTGTTAAATCTGTAACTTTTGATTGTGCTAAGACAGAAAGTCACTGTCCCCACACGACCTTGAAGGGTACCTCTCTGCTGTGAACTTCTTCCAGGCCCACTTTGTCTTGCACCACACTGAATGCTACTACCCTGAAGGTCATCTTCCTACTGGTTACCTTGCTGCCCACTCAACTTAGGACTCTGAGGCACAGCCCTCAATGAACTCCACAACACAAGGCCTCAAGTCCCGCTCTCAAGTCCTATTAGTCCTTCAAGTGCTCCTCAAGCCCCAGACCAAATGAGTTCTAAAGTCACTCCTGGATTAAAGCTGAGCATTCTTCCATATATCTTCCCAGGTTTTAAATAACAAAACCAAAAGCTTCCAACATCTCCTCTGCATTCTCCTTCCATATTTCAAATAACACCTCTCTAAGTAAAGGCTTTCACACCCCCATTAGGTGTTGTGACTTTCATAGAACTTTGCTTCAGAGATCTAGCACTTTGCTGTAATCTTACCCTGTTCACAATGCCTTCCTCATTGAAGCCTTATTCATTTTTTCTTTTCACTTGTAGAGTGCTATAAACATTAGAGGTTCTCAAATAAGTGAAATTGATTATTTATAAAAATAGATTAAAATTATAACTGAGTTTGAAAAATTCCTCCAAAACAGGAATCATATATTGGCTTTCCTCACCGCATAGCTTTTAAGTATTTGTTTATATTTATTCTTGAGTCATGAGTTTTTTATACAAATTTTATATAGCATGCAGAACATTTACATATCTCTAAACCACCTTAAAGGGCTTATTGCAAACATTTGGGCTCATTTTTATTTTTATATTTATTTATTTATTTATTTTGGTCTTTTTGAGACAGGATCTCTCTGTTACCCCAGCTGGCCTGGAACTAGCTGTGTAGACCAGGCTGGCCTTGAATTCACAGAGATTTGCCTGCCTCTGCCCCCCGAGTGCTGGGATCAGAGGCATGCCACATCTTTTTGGGGTGTGTATATATGTGTGGGCACATGTTTGTGTGTGTGCATGTGGAAGCCAGAGGTCAACCTTAGGTGTTGTTCCTCAGGAAACACCCACCTTCCTTTTTGAGATAAGGAAGGACAAGCCCCTCTCACTAGGACAAGGGGCTTGCCAATTAGGCTAGGCTGGCTGGCCAGTGAGCCCAGATCCTCTTGTCTCCACCTGCCCGGCACTGGGATCATGAGTGTGTGCACCATCATATTCAGCTTTGTACATGGGTGCTGGGGGATCAAATCTAGCTCCTCATGCTTGGCAAGCACTTAGTACTAACCTAGCCATCTCCCTAGACCCCCTTGGCCATGTTTCAACTGCAGAAAGCATAAAGTAGCTTTGTCTTGATACTGACCTTCGTTCAAACATTCTCAGAGAGTAAAGCTTACAAGTACATCCCAATGCAATGACGAGTAGGAGCCCGCAGATGAGGCTCCCGATGACAGCTGCCGTTATGACTCTGGTAGGCACAATAACTGGGCAATTCTCCTCATCGCTGCCATCACCACAATCGTCCTGAGAATCACACACCCAGCTTTCAAACACGCAGCGATTGTTTTTACAATGAAAATTCCCTGGCTGGCAAAAGAAGCAGTTTTTTTCATCTGAGCCATTTGGGCAATGATTTTGGTAGTTGCACCGGTCAGAACGAGGATAACAGACACCATTTCGAGAACATGGAAATTCCTCCTTTTGACACATGGTACAATTGATTTCATCCCTTCCGTTTGGGCAATGCCAATATCCATCACATCTCTGCTGCTCAGTGTAACACCCCCAGTTACCTCCACAGGGTATTTCCCATGGCAAACAGAAGCCATCTACTTGGTAAGTAGCATTAAATCCTCTCGCAGCATTCACTTTATCAGCACAAAAATGTACTCGTATCTGCCCAGAAGAAGAAACCACTGTAAGAGGTGCGTGAGAATCAAAAGCAGTCAACACACGCAAAAGCTTGTGAGGATTCTCCTCTAATCCATCGTATATTTTAACATAATCACCATAACCAGTACCATCAAGTTTGAAGTCTGTGAAGCGTAAAATGACTTTACGATGATCACCGGTGTCTATTAGCCAGGTGCAATTACTCCCAGGAGGATAAAAGTCTGGGTAATTAGGAGAATTAAAAGTACCATAAAAGTATTTGAACCACTGCCCACAAGTTGGTACATCACAGTCCATCTCGTCTCCCAGGTCAAGGCAGTCAATGTTCCCATCACATTTTAAAGACTCCGGGAGGCAAGTGTAAACTTTGGTAAAGCGGGACAGACACTGGAACTGGTTGTAAGCGCAGGGTTGGAAAGCAGCAGCTGTTGGAGGGTTAGCTTCTCTGGCACAGATCTCTTCATCGGAACCATCTCCACACTCGTCCATGCTGTTACATTTCCAGGCTTCTGGTATACACTTTCCACTACCGCATCGAAATTGATCACAAGCACAGTTTGGCTCCTCAGATTTCCCTGAGAGAAAGAGGAGAAAGGGAGATAGAAAAAGAAGAAAAACATCCACTTCAAAAGACATAGAGTATTCTTGTAATAAATGAGTATGCTCAAGGGATAAGGTGTTTTTTGTTTTTGCTTTTTTAAAAATCTTGTTAAAAGTATATTGAATTCAAATGGGACATTAGTACTGGCACTAAGCACTCAAGATTTTTTTCCACAAAGTTGCTTGTACCTTGCTGTCAAGCAAGACGGGATCAGTTGTGTTTCTGTAGAAAGTTACTTTACTGCAGAACATTTAGCAAAATGATTGAAGCCAATAGAACATTCTGCCCAGGAATTTTCACTAACATTTTATAAATGTAATTAAAGCATCAGACATTTTTAAAGAAAAAACTGTCCAGTCATTTTCAAACATGTTTTCATCTTCTATAGTTCTTGTCTGTCTACATACACAATACAGTGTTTTGGTATGTGCACTGGAGGAGATTTCATCACTTAGATTCACTTCTGCTAAGACTGTCATATTAACCCTTAAATTGCTTATACTTCATGTAATCAGGACAAAATACTTCCATTTTATAGTTTGTATTTTTAACATAACTACAAAATATTACATGAAGTTAAGCCAGATATATAAACTTGCTCATAAAAAGAAAACATAGAAAAATGGCTTAAAGAACTCTATTTTAGTATACCATGCTAATAATCAACAGTACTAACACAGAAAAAGACAACACCAGAATCCAACAGTCCCCAAACTGACAATGTTGGGCCAGTGTTTACTTCTCCACTAACAGCTTATTAGTAAACAGGTGACAGAAATGTTTCAGAAGCTAAATAAATACTATAGTCTATGATTATAAGAAAAAAGTATATATAACTAGTGCTTTAAAATTTTCACATTTGTTATGATTGGTTCCTCTTTTGGTTATTGTTTAAGAAGAGCCAAAAAAAAAAAGTATGACTACAAAGTATGACAGAGAAACTGGTTACGTCTTTTCTTTGAAGGTGCAATAAAAACCAATTCACACACACAAAATGTACTTTCAAGTTACTTTCAAGATATGAGCAAAAACCTTGAAGGACAATAGGCTACTTTCTAAATAAATGTACTCAAGGTCTTTTAAAAATTGACCTTTGTTTATGAAATCAGTTTATTAGGAATATACAATACACCTTTGGGAGACTCAGTTCTAAGGCACTTGACCTCAGTTTCTACTTCAATTTCAGTTGTCTTCACAGTCTACTCACAACCAAATGGACAGAAAATTAGCTCCAAAGTGACTGAGCAATTAATTCCACAAAATTTGGTTCAGTGTCTCACTTGTTTATAAACACACCTGAAAAATACGCCAGCCTGAAGCCTTTCCTAGAGATGCTGTCATCTGAATGGAACCTGATCCAAACATGGTCTTGTGAAGAGATGTATGGAGGTGGGATTGTGGACCCACAAGCTCTGTAACTTTCAATATTCTTGTATGTTTCTATTGTCAGCCAGTCCAAACTGCATCTTCTGGACCCCTGAATGTCAAAATCCTGAAAACTACAACAGAAAGTCAGAAAAGACTATTTTAAATTTTTGAGACTAAATTTCATAATAATCAAAGTAAGTGAGAACACTATTATAAAACTCTGTACTGATTCTCCTGCTGCAGCTGACACCCACATCACCAGCACATTATACCACTGCTTCTACGTTCCTAGTATCTTTCCCTAAGGTTCCAGAATAGAATCTCTTCTTCATAAGGTAATATCAGAGTCCAAATCATGCTAAACACCAGGTGACAGCTGGCATCTTTTTCTGTTTATAGATTTAGGAAAATCCATTTCTAATTTAGATCATCCTAAATTGCTTTTTGTTTGAGTCAGAAATTCAAATACAGAGAAAGTATGCATAGATATTCATCTTTCTCTTAGATTAGACTGATTTCCCTACTTCTTCAATGCAAGTTTCAGCTACTATTTTCTGTGCAGCAAATCAGAACAAAGGGGAAAAAAAGCAAAACAAAACAAACAAAAAACAAAACAAAAAGTCTATAATGAAAAGACCCTGGGTTTGGGAATATTTTTTTACATAAATCACATTATAGTCAAGCATTATCATGTAGTTTATAAAATATGGGCACAAATAAAAGGCAAGAAGTCAAATAAGAACACATACAAAATCAGGTCTCTCAATAGAAAAATCAAATTTTGTTTGCAACATCTGAACATGTCTCAGTAATAAATGAAAATCAATCTCTGCCTCTGCTTTATATCAGGTGATAAAAAACTTAACCATCCAAGGTTCACGTCAAGCTGCTTCTTTAAATACTCTTGATAACTCTGGCACATGCTGATAATTTGTTCCTAGCCTTTTACTATGAACAACGCTTTCAAGGATCTTTACACAGGCATCTCTCTCAGACACTTGAGCAAGGACTTCTTTAGAACAAACTTTTCTAAAAGTATTATCCTACATCAGAGGACATGATTCCTCTTTAAATTTGATAGGGAAAAATGTTTATACTACTTGGTAATTCCACCAAGTGTGTCAAGCTACCATCTGACAAAATGAGATCCTTTGCTTTTAGGGCTGCGGCGATGAGTTCATATAAAGGTTCTGTATGACAAATAACAACCCCCCACACCCACACCTACATATATTGCTAATGACACGGACAAAGAAATTATTATTATTCAAATTTGCATCTATTTACTAAGAATGAAATACATTTCCCTATGTTTACTGGCTATTTCAATTTCTTGTTCTGTGACATGTCTTGTTCTGTGCTTTTATCCATTTTTTTTTTCTTCTTCTTATTTAAGGAAAAAATGTTGGGCTGTCTGTCTCCCACAGACAGTATCTCTCATAGCTGCTGTGGTTGGGCACATCAGTCAGTGGGTGTGAAAATGCATCTTGCACTGTGGCACTTTCCTGAGGATTATATTGAGCATCTTTTCATGTGTTTACTGGCCATTCTTACATCTTCGAAGTGTCTGAATAAGCCTTTTGTCTACTTAAAAAACTAGGTTTTTTAATTGAGTTACAAAACTTTCTTTTATATTTGGAGCTCTGTCTGATAAGTGTTTTGCTAACACAATTGGGTTTTTATTTTTTTTCTTCCAGTCTGTGGTCTGCCTTTTCATTTTTTCTTTTTGTGTGTGTGGTGCCTGTGCACCAGTTCATGCATGCAGAGGTCAGACAGGGACTTTCAACATGTTGCTTTATTGTTCTCACCTTGTGACAAGATCTCTTATTTCTACTGGCCAGCCAGAGAGCTCTCAGGATCCACCTGTTTCCATTTTCCACCCCTCAATGCTGGAGTTACAGGCATATACAGCTATGCCTGGCTCATTATGTAGGTGCTGGGGATTCAAACTCAGGTCCTCATACTCTCAGAGCAAACCCTCTTATCCACCTAGCTACCTCCTCAATCCCCTTTTCATTTTTCTTAATGAAACTAAAAAAATATTTTACTACTTTATTTTTATGTGTTTTGCCTGCATATATGTAAGTGCACCACATATATGCAGTGCCCAGAGGTCAGAAAAGGGCAACAGATCCCCTGGGACTGGAGTTACTGAGTATTGTTAGATACAATGTGGGTGCTGGGAACCAAACCCAGGTCCTTTCCAAGAGCAACAAGTGCTCTTAACCACTGAGCCATCTCTCCAGCCCCTCCTAATGAAATTTTTTAATGAGCAGATGTTTGCTTTAGCCTTTTGAGGATAAGGTGTCTATATTTAGCTCATTCTAGCTTCAAACCCATGATCCTACTGCCTCTGCCTTGCAAGTGATAAGACTACAAGCGTGTGCTACTACACCTAGTTAACGAACAGAAGTTAATTTTGTTTTAACCACCCTCTAATTTATTATTTTTCCTTTATGTTTGGTGCTTATGCTGTCCTATGTTACCTTTGCCTACCTACAAGATCATAAAAGTATTCACAATATTTTTCTTATATCTTAGTTCAGTTTCTACATTTGTACATAGGAACTTGATTTTTAAAATATTATTTTCATTTTTGCGTATGGGTGTATTGCCTGCATGTGTGTAAGTGCACCCATATTGTACAATGCCCGTGGAGATGAGAAGGTGGCATTGAATCCCCTGGAACTGGAGTTAAGGACAGTTGTTAGCTGCCATGTGGGTGCTGCAAGAGCAGTCAATGTTCTTAACCGCTGAGCCATCTCTCCAGCCCCCAGGAACTTATTTTTTGTGTGTTCTTGAGTAGGGCTTAAGCTTTTCCTTCTTACATATATCTAGAATATAGGACATACAGTACAAATTTTTTCCTATCCCAGAGTTCAATTGCTATTTAATCGTTCTGAACTTGTGAAAGTTTGGTCTTCTATTTTATTAAGAGTGGGTAGGTTCCTGCTTTTCTTATCTTGGGTAAATTCCAAGTTTTGAATATTGTCCTTACCTGAAAATTATGAAACTTTTTAAGTTTCAATAAAAATCTGAAGGTATTTACAAAGTCCCCCTAAGTCAGCAAGTTTCAAACTCTAAACTGTCTTTGCTATGTGGGCAAGATTCAAAGAGAGCACTGCTAGGCTGTAGTAGCCCAAATCCTTGCCGGGGCCTTTCCAATCTCCAGTCTTGTCTTTCCACTGGGTTCTTTGGAGTCTCTTTACTGTATTGCCTGCATGTAGGTAAGTGCACCCATGTTGCACAATGCCCGCGGAGGTCAGAAGAGGCTGCTGGATCTCCTGGAACTGGAGTTATGGACAGTTGTTAGCTGCCATGTGGGTTCTAGGATTCGAACTTAGGTCTTCTGCAAGAACAGTCAGTGTTCTTAACCACTGAGCCATCTCTCCAGCCCCTGGAGTCTCTTAAATATGCAAATTTCATGGGTAAGCCAAAGACTTGAGAAGAATTTACACAGACAAAAGGGTTTCCTGCTTTTGGCTCTTTTCTCTCCAAGATGCTTCCATTTGCATTTCCATCTGCTTCAGCAGCCTCCACTGGTTCTCTGACATCTCAAGCTGACAAGATCATGGCAATTTGCTAGACTTCCAGTCATTCCACGCTGCTGCTGCGCAGACTGGCAAGAACCTTTATAGAGCTTATCCACTTAGTGAGGTTTCTCCTTTCCAGAGCAGACCCCTCTCCAGTTTCAGCCAGTGTTTAATTGCTATTTAGTGACTTACATAGTTCCCCGAGTTCTCCCCTTCTCTCTCTGCTTCTCTCTCCTCTCCTCCCCTCTCTGAATGTGTGTATTTTCATTTTGTCTAAACTTGATAACTGCTGCTTAGTGGAGGGCCACTCCAATACAAACTAGGGAATACCATAAAATAATTTTAGTCCATCAAAATGTCTAATTAAGATCCATGAAAGCAGGACATTATCCAGAACTAGAAATAATGAATAAATACTTGCGGATGTATAGTCTATTTGTTTTGGTTTGCTAGTACTTCATCTAGGATTTTTAAAATGTATTAGCAAGTGGGAATTACTTTACAGGTTTTAACATAATTTATAATAGTTAATCTAATAAAACACTGAAGACACACCTGTGTAAATATTTAGAATACAGATTCAGGGTTGAGGTTTGTAATTGCTTTTTTTTTTTTGGTCTTTTTGAAGCAGGGTCTCCCTGTAGCCCCAGCTGTCCTGGAACTCACTATGTAGACCAGGCTGGTCTTGAACCCACAGAGATCCGCCTGCCTCTGCCTTCCAAGTGCTGAGACTACAGGCATGTGCCACCACACCCAGACAGTAAATTCTTTTTTAAAAAAAAAACCACTTTAGTTATTAATTTTATGTGTATGAGTGTACTGCCTGCATGTAGGTAGGTGTACCCATTTTGTGTAATACCCATGGCAGAGGTCAGAACAAGGTGTCAGATCCCCTGGAACTGGAGTTATGAATGGTTGTTAGCCACCATGTGGGTGCTGGGAATTGAACCCGGGTCTGCTGCTCTTAACCAGTGTGCAATCTCTCCACTCTCCAGTCCTGAAGTTTGTAATTTCTAATGCATTTTTAATAAAAAATCTTTTCGAGACAGGGTCTCCCTGTAGAGCCAGCTGACCTGGGGAGGCCAAGTAGGCCTCAATCTCACAGAGATCCACCTGTCTTTGCCTCCCCAGAGCTGAGATTAAAAGCTTGCACCACCATACCTAGAATAATGCTTTTTAGATTTAATCAACTTTCTCTAAACTGAGTCAGTTTTTTTTTTTTTAAATTTTAAAATTTATGTGTGTGGCTGGGTGTGGTGATGCACGCCTTTAATTCCACATGTGTGCAGGTACTAATGGAGGTCAGAAGAAGGTGTCCGATCCCCCAGAGCTGAAATAATAGCCACTGTTCTTTAGTTCGTTAGTCCTTGAGTCAGTTTCAATCATTTAAATTTCTTTAGAAATTATTCATTTTATCTTGATATTAAAGTTTATTACTTCAATGTTGTACACAATACTTTCAATAAAATTTAAAGACTGTATCTGTGATTTTTAAATTTTCTGTTTTTCTCTGTAAGCAAGTATATTACTGACAAACAAGGAAAGCTTTGTCTCTCCTACTGTTCTGTGTGTGTCGTGTGTGCGTGTTGTACACATGT